AATTCCTTCTGGTTTGAAACTCTGAAGACATGGGGGGAAGGAGACCCTCAGAGTATCCTCTCCACACCGCCTATGATTCCAAAAGCTGATTCTCCTTCCATCTCCCACCATGTAAGTGATGTTGCCACTGAATGCTTCCTAATTCTTCATTATGCTCCTCCACATGCCACACCCGAAGGGTGTTGTGATTGCCTTGGTCCTCCAACACCCTCCCGTGGAATCGTTCTTTTCTACTATGACCTCCCTCCCTATGATATAGTTATCAATTTATAAGAAAAAAATCTAGATAGTTTTTCTGAGATCTTTTTTTCACTTGTACATGCAACTCTTTGATACTAATGCTCGATTAATTACCCCTATAATTAATTTTCAAAAAGCCCTTGTAGAGTACTAATTTAGGGGACACTTCAATGGTGATTGGGATCCCACATTTACTCACAATATTCTCAAGTGTTTATGTAATTTAAACTTGATTATACTATGTTCATGTGAGAGGTGCGGTAAGGAATTGTAAAGGTGACTGGGTAGTTTGCTACCCGGATTATTCCAAAGCGATTTATCCTTTGCATACAAAATTCCTGTCACTCAGCCGAGGTCTCAAGTGGTTATAGAAATGAATCTCATACCACTGGAAGTGAAAATTGACTCAACTGAGGTAATAAAATATTTGAAGTATGGATATCCTACTACAATGCCTTAATTTATGACTATAGGTTATTATTGTCCATAGTGGGAAGCCAAGGATTATGCATAATTTTCAAGAAGGAAATGAAGTAGCCCACCTACTAACTAAGAAGGCAACCAATCCTATCTAGCAATTCCTCCTCCTCCTGTTGAGACAAAGGTGTTGGCGGACAAAGATAGGATGTTAGCCGAACTTGGCAATCGTAATGCCTTGGGAGGCATCACTTCAACATGTAACAGTATGGAACAACTTCAGTATATTTTAACCCCCGTCCTCAGACCCTTGGACCACGAACCTGAATCCCAGTTTCGATCTCTGAACCCTGAATTCTAACCCCCGACACCTGATCCTTATGCCCGGCCGCCACCGCCCAACCCGATCAACCTCGATCTCGGATCCAGACACTGGACACCTAACCTAGACCCTTAGACCCCGAACCGAAATCCGACCTCCGACCCCTAACACGAATCACAACCTTGGACTCCTGAATCATAACCCCGACCCCTAATCCTTATGCCTCACCGCCCCCTTCCGCAACTAAATAAGTAAGAAAACCACTTATTTTTTCACAAAAAATTTCTAGAAAAACATTTTTTGTGGAAAACATTTTTAGTGAAACATATTTTCCTTTCCCATCAAACACGCCCATCTATCTAACCCTAATTATACTTATTTTTTGTGTCACGTAAAAATTGTGAATCATAGCTAAACCCGTCACTGTCTTAGAAATCTAATCCATACAAAACCACAAACCAAAATCATACATAAATATGCAAAAAAATAGATAAATTCCTACAAATCTAATCCAGACACTACAAAATCAGAGCATACATGACTATGCAAAAATAGTTAATAGGAAGGAAGAATTGAGGAGCGGGAAGTGGAACAAACCTTAAGGCGCTTTCGAGCGAGTAATCGATCTACATGATGGAATAGAAACAGAGTAAGGATTCCTGATGGGGAATTTAGCGTGAAAAGAAAGGCCGTCGAAACCGACCTTCTTAAGATCCACATAGATGATTCCAAAAGCTGCCTTCCATCTGAAGAAGAGCAAGCAGCTCGCTGCAGGAAAAGAG